CCCCTTCGTCAATCCCCCAGCCCCCTTCACTAAGCCCACACTGACTCAGAAGCCAGGCCTGGCCAGCTCCTGACTTGGCCCCAAAGGAGCCGCGCCATGGCGGAGGGATCCTGCGAACGTGCGTTTATTTGCACCTCACGGGGCCTCCCTTTGCCTGGGCCGAGCCGGGGGCTGGATGCCCGAGGGGCTCCCGTGACGGGGACCCGGGCAGCGTGGGGCCGCGGTTGGCAGCCCCCTGGTTGGTTGCGCGGCCTTTGTTCTCTGAGCCACCATGGCGTCTCGTCAGCTCCCCTTACATAAGGCCTCCTGTTATGTAATCTCCTTCCTTTAAAGAACAGTCATTAACCTAGTACCGGGTACCGAAAATACCAAAATGCTGTCACATAATTAAAATTACTAAATTGTGTCCCCAAATTAGAACACAGATTACACTGCGGCTTATTTTTGAAAGAAGGTGCGCACGCATAAAACATCAGCGATTCTGGGTATGTCTGTGGGCCGCGAAACCTCCTCGAGCGGGGCCAGGGAACCGCATATCCGCGCAGGAGCCCCTGGGATGCCTTCCAGTCCTGCGATTCACGCAGGCGACACCCGAGACCAGCATCACCTTGCCTCAAGCGGTCACGGTGATTCTCACCCCTCCAGCCCCTCTCTCCAAGTCTCACTGAGCTGCAAAATGGTCTTCATGGTCCACAGGCAGACCTGGGTGAGGGTAATGCAGAGATAATGCAGCTAGTGCTCTGCTCTTTGTAGAAAAAAAGGCATGCTTTTTTAAAGTAACAACCCAAGTAAATCAAAGCGGAGAACAGTTGGCTTTTAAAATGACTCCCAAGGAATTTGGTGCGGCTGGAACTCCAGGCTGGCGCTCGGCCACGCTGGCCTGAGCTGCCATCCCGCCCGGCCTCACCAGCTGGACGGGGCTGGCTGTCGGGGCAGCAGGAAGGGCTGGCGGCAACCCGATAGGTGGCACTCTCGGCTCTCGAGTCAGCCCCGAGATGGCTTCGCACCACGGCATGGTGCATATGAGCCATTGTCACCAAAGGGAGTTTCTCACGAGAGTGGAGTTGTTGAGCTTGGCTCCCCCTCTTTTTTGCACTCGTTTCTGGGAAATCCTGTCCCCTGTACTCCCTTGCAAACCCAGCACTCTTCATCCTCTCCTAACCTGGTGAGTGGTGGTGCTGCTAAATAGCCAACACTTCCCATGTCAGCCACAGCCAAGGGGATGTTGGTGGAAAACCCCTTAGCACCCAGCTGGACGAAAGCAGCTCCAGCTGCTGAAGCCGCTGCCGTTTTCCTACGGATCAGCTTGGAGTCTTGCACACCCACCGGCACTTCCGGAGGCCTGGGACTTGATCACCGCTATTAGCTTGCAAAGCTCTGAATGTTGTTAGCGGTTGTGAAATTCTCCTGCTCTTTGTTAAATCCAGCCACAGCGCAGTGTGTCTGAGTCAATGACCTCCTGTGGCATTGAATGATCAGAAATTCCTTCTCCTATAATCACTTCATTTAGTGGCTGGGAGCGAGCAGGGACAGGTATCATTCCAGCACCAAGAATGGCCATTTCCTTTACTCTGCTGTGCAAGTTGCAGGTTACATGACCTCCCGCCTCACTCCCTGTAGCCTTTTGTTCATGCCGTTGTTTTCCCTGCAGTCCTTCCCCTGGCCTGCTTGCCTGAAAGTCCATCCCTTTTCCATGATATTTCATGAACATTGCACTAGTGTCAGTTTTCTGGAGTACCGGTACGGCAAACGCGCGAAGCAGCAGCTCTCTGGCTGCTGTGTCTGCCCTTGCGGCTGTGACAATACCAAGCTTTTGCTTAATAACATCCCCCACTCAGTGGTAGCACTACCATAGACCGAGTTTTTATCAGGGGCTTTTTCCCCTCACTGGCAAAAGACAAGATGCTGGTGTCTTAACTGCTGTGCTCAGAGCAGGGGTTAAAGGTCTTGATTGTTAACATGCTGGTGGCTTAACAAGTGTAGTGCTACCACCAGCGGAGCTCCTGGGGGTACTGCAGCGATGGGAGATGTTAGGAGGAAGCTGTGGACAAATCAATGCAGGCTGGCTAGGCCTGCACAGATGAAAAGACACCTGGTTTCCTATTTCATTTGGCACTTACTATATCTGGTTTGGGGAGCAGACCTGATTCTGATTAGCTGAGGCTTGGATAGCAACCCAAGGCAAGGGGTAGAGAACGAGGGCGTGCTTCATCTCGGCACCCAAGGAAGCTAAGATCACCAAGGGATTTGTTTAGCAGCAAATGGCATCATGGTGTTACTGAAAAACCCTTGCATCTGGTCTGTGCAATAGTTAACAGGTTCAAAGGGCTGCTTAAGCCCTTATGCTTTAGTAGCAGAGCAGTTTATAGTGAATTAGCTAGACCTGTTACCAATCCACCCAAGCTGGTTGGAAATAGGCCAGAATGAGTGTTCAAAAAGCCTTTTGCCCTGATTGGCTCTTATCAGTCTAACCCCTTAAGCTATGCTGGTGCCATCCGTCTCGCGGAGACAAAGGCATTGTTTGCATGACAAATGCCACAATGCAGTTTATAATCAAATCACCAGCGTCATTTCCAACCCAAATGCCTCCTGAGCCTGTTCTGGACATCCAGGCTCTGGCCATTAGCTTTTTGATACCCTCACCAGCTTACAACAATTGCATCCTTCCCCCACCATTAAACACCTCAAGTGTATTGACTGAAATGGTAAACAGGTGTGCTGGCTGAGACGTTGGCTGGGAAGCCACAGATCTCACTGCCCTCTCTCTGTAACCCCAGCTGGGAGTGTTAACACTCCATGCTGGTAAGAATCAGGCTTTTCAGTCAGTGTTTGGGGGAAAAAAAAGGAAGAAGGAATAAAGCCTGGGAAGTGAAAAAGAGCAGGCAATGCAGAGAGGATGTATTGAATTCTCCCGGACAAGTCCTTATGCTGGCCCTCATCCAAACATAATCCAAAGGTCACTAAAATCCTTTTAAGCCTTAGAATCATAGAAAATTAGAGTTGGGAGGGTCCTCAGGAGATCACCTAGTCCAACGCCCTGCTCAAAACCAGAACACCAGTCGGCACCTGATGCAGAGGCCAAATCATCGAGCGCTCGGCAGGATAACTACTGCACTCCTTGGTAAATTCCAGCCTTTAGGAAACACCAAAAGGAGAGCTAAAGTCTTTTAATAATCCAGCCTCAATTTGAGTGCTGAGCCCTTGGAAACCTGGCCAATCACGTGTATGGTTTAGAGCTGATTTCTGTGTTTGATTTGCTGGCTGACCTTCTACATCATTGCCAACTATTCTCGATGCTCAGCTGCCCAGGCAAAGGTGACCCTTTGTTCTGGTTACAACGCAATGGCTGAAACAAGAAGCAACAACTCTGCACAGTCCCAGTCTCCAATGCAAACCTATCGAGAGTCCTTACCTTCCATGGCTGCCCACGTAGGATGCGTACTGTGGCGCCCGGGCTGGATGAGGAATGTGAACTTGCATGCTTCCATGTTGGATGGTTCACAGGCAGATTTAAACATTTTCAAAATAGTTTGTTCCCCCAGTGAGTTGTGGGTCCCAGCCTAGCAACGAAAGCTGTTAGGAGACGCACAGGAGGCTGCTTACAGTAGAAGTCTTCTAGCTCTGC